TTTTTTGTTTGGTTTTCTCTAGGTCAGTAAATCGGCGTCTGTGGCTTAGATGTTGCGAACGCGCTTCGTAAATCCAAGACACCCCATTCTGATCCAGCCGCGGGAAATGTGGCAGCAGACCAATAATAATTGACGTTGAAAATAGTATCGGTTTGCTGGCCGTTTGAAAAGCAATGTTAAAGTACTGAACGTAAGACTGCTCATCATCATAAAGCAGGTCTTTTGCAGAACATTGCTCTCATCACAGTCTGTGTGAAAGAAACTCAGTCTCTCACCAACATTCCAGCCTTATGCACTTATGCACACCAAGAAGTCATTTATAGTCTGTGCCCATGTTCTTGCTGGTCGGCTCCTGGCCCTCTTTCCTGAGCGGATTTGAACCTCGACCGTCCCTCGAAGTGGGAGTACAGCTGCTGGTGAGGCAGTGAACGGCAAAAAAATAAGCCAGTAAAACAGATGTACAAGCAAAACTCAGGTCCAGATAAAAGTCAAAGGTCCAAATGGACGAACTACCGAGACCTTTCGCCGTAATTAACTGCCAGTGAACGAAGAAGAACCTCGACTGTAGCACCTACAGGTAAACATAAACTTGCAGGACAACTCACAAACAATGCTGTAGAAAATAGAATAATTGTTCATAAGCTGAACAAGATATTGTCAAAAATCGATAGTTTAAATCAGCACAGAATACTGCAGTCCTGCATAGAAACTCACTACAAGATACTGATACATACAAATTTACCTTTTTTTTTCACATAAACTGAGCAAAACAAACACCGACAGAGTTTATATTACTCGTACACAAATTCATTAAAGAATATCGTGATAAGCTAACATGGACAGTCTTTAAAAAAAGAAAAATACACAAAAGATAAAACACGCATAGAAACTCAAAAAGAAATATGAAAAAAAAAAAATACACATGAGCTCAGGGGAAAAAATGCAGTAGAAAATACAGATTCTTCGCACAGAAAGTTAATAGCAATTAACTGTCAAAAAAATGTCTGCTTACCTTTTTGTAAGGTTTAAAGTGCAAATCATTCCACATTCTGTTTTCCATGAGCAAATCGTAGTTAGACAAAGGTACATTAACCTCTCCCAGGTACTCGGGCAACTTCAGATGGTGAGCCTTATGGAAAGCCATTATCCTCAATCGTAAAGTTTTCATTTCATCAATGTTAAAATCATTGAAGAAGAACTCTTTGTTGAGAACTGGAGCGCATGTCTGCTTTGCAGGTTCTGAATTCTGTTTTTGTAGTTTTCCTGGCATAAGGCATAGTTTAAAAAACGGGTTAAGAACCAAGTCAGGCTTTTCCGGAAACCGAAGTCCCTCTGCTCGTATTATGATGACTTTAAGTCGTTTTGTGGCTGGAAAGTACTGGAATGAAAACTTAATGTCTCCCCGTTCTGTTTCTGTTTTTGTAACTGGGGGAACCTCCGGTATTTCGTGCGTTGATATGTTACCAAGAGAGCTTGACTTGGATTTCTCCATGGATCGACTCATTTCCTGCTCAAGTATTTTTGACTCACAAATTGTCACCTCTGGAGAAGAGTGTCTCTTGTCCTGAAGTGGGTCAATTGGCGTCAGCTGCTTTCTTGATCTCGGGAGTTGCGGGCTGCCATCAGAGGAGAGCTCGTTCTCAACTGTATTCTCATTTCGGTACAACAGACGCATGACATCTGATGTAACCAGAGAAGAGCGCCGTCTGTAGTACCGCTTGGATCGTGTGAAGGATTCTTTCAAAGGCAGGTATTCGTTTTTATCTGTTAAGCCTGTGTAGACTCCGCGGTACTCAGTATTAAAGTGATTGACATGGAGGAGATCTGTCTGCACGTTCCGCTCGTCTAAGTGTTGGGAGAAATCTTGAAAAGATCTGTGGATCCGCCTTGTTCTATGGCGAGATTCAGACCCTGGGATGGTCAGCGATCCTTTCCTCTCAGACAGCTTATGTTCTGCAGCTCCATGACTAGAACAAGTAGATATTTTCCACATAGGTACAGACGTGTTTCCATTTTTCACAACCGTGGCTTGATCAGATTGGACATGTGGCAAATTCGACACAGAACTGATTCCAAAATCCTTCAGAAAACCATGGGAATCCCGTCTTGGGGAAACAGGTGCAGATCGAATACGTGTATTAGTTATGTCCGGCGCTGCGAGACCTGAAAATGATGATCTTGGACTAACAGCGGGGCTAGTGGAAACTGACCAAGAAGCAACACTGGGTTCCCCGCTGGAGTGGCTCATGAGGTCTTCGTTGGAACCAATGCTTGGCTGCCTAGAAGATTCACTGGAGCCAGGTATCACAAACTGTGGTATGGTTTGAGGAGTCACTAAGTTAGCAGTGAAGGGTTGAGATTGAGCAGCTGCTCCACCACGACCACTTTTCCCTCCATTTGTGTTTCTATCGTGGTCACCACCAAACCCAGGCAGACGACATTTATTTACCAGCCAGTCTCGAAGATCTCGCATTGTGTCTGTAGTCTTTTCTTCTGCCATAGCACACATCGTCACAGAGCGTTTGATCACACCTGCTTAACTTCAATGAATAAATATTGTCGCAGTGTGAAGTATCATTGTATTTCTCCCTGCTTTCTTTCTAAAAACCCCAACTTCTTCTGTTGTTTGCTTCAGTTTGTTATTTAACCCACTTGTCAGTCTGTATGGTAATGAACCTGTGTGGAATAAAACAATACAACATATTAATTCTCCTTGGTTTAGCAAATCAACTCTTTATACACTCGTACAAATACAGAATTTCCTGATGTCCCAGGTAGGTGGTTTTCGAAGAGAAGAAAATTCCTTGGGCAGTTTAATCTAAATGATTTTTTTCTTACTTGGTGATCCGCGGATAAATAATAATGTTTTTTATATTATATATAAAAATAGCCCAACTCAAAAATGCATTCAATTTCACAATTCTAAAATTTTTAAATTATAACAATTTCTTCAGAATACCCATTTGAAAAGTAGTGGGTCTGCTGCAGACCTCAGAATTATTTACAGCAGTTCTTCACGTTACCAAATGTCACATGCTTCTTGATTTAAACTTTACATACTGTGGGACAAAAGAAATCTACAATTTCAGTAAAACGTCTATGCTTTGAAAACTAATTCTGTTGTCAGCAATTCCCTCGACTTGCGATGACAAGTCTAATCATAATTTGAAATAATTAAATTTCGATTTTAATTTTGGCTTATCTTAAAAAATTATAAAAGTTAGCAGTAAAAAGGAATTTTGCGGTTTATTATTCACGAATCATCATATATTTCAAAGTACGCTTTTTTTTTTTAACGTAAAGAAGCACACAGGAATATATAACGTAAGCCTCTTTAACAGGAATTCCGAAATTGAGTTTGTGTAAAGAAAAATGTGAATTAATAATATGTTATCCCTGCCATTACCAATATGTTTTTTTTCATGTTGACCAAGTGTTCTTGTTAATCGTATTTACCATGTTTATAAATATATATATATATATATATATATATATATATATATATATATATATATATATATATATATATATATATATGTATATATATATATTATATGTATGTAGGTGTGTGTGTGTGTGTGTGTATGTATATATGTGTCTGTGTATTTGGGGAGGGGGAGCTCCCGTGGTACAGCAGCTAGAAGCTCCACTGCGAATAGAAAGGTCGTGGGTTTGGTTCAAAAATGACCTTGGCTCCCAGATCGACCCAGCCCTGGGTGGGTACCAGGTTCAGTCCTGGGAAAAATGGGATTAGAGGCAGCTGTGGATTTCATTTGAGGGCAACAGGCGAAATGGTTTGGCCACCTAACGGTGCTGTCAGCAGACAGTTGACTACACTAAGCAATGCTATATAGACCAGACTGGTAGCGAAGAAGAGGCCGACAATGCAAACGACGAACAGAGGAATTTAAAGACTCATTTGGTATCCCAATTTGTGGAGCACACACACAGGCTTTTTCACGTATATCTCACTTCACCTCGACACCGCAAGGTACCAGAGGATCAAAATGAGATGAGATGATAAGTGTGGGAAAGAAAAGTGAAGAGGAAAGGAATCACCTGAGGTTTAGATTTAAATATAGGCTCAACAAGCCACATCTTAAAGCTTCACAAACTGAAGGGGATTATTTTTTTTTAAATTTGTAAAGGAGAGCAATTGTCACAAGAAAAAGAGTCTTATGACATAGTCGATGATTTTGCTTTTGAGAAATCAAGAAAATAATTGTTTTAAGTTGGAATTTAAAGTCTTGGGAGGTTTAGAGTGTTATTTATTATTACCTCTGTAATTTTGCAAACATAATTGTTATTGTGTCTTTAAAAACAATTTGATATTTAAATTATCTATGCATTTAAATTGCGCATATTTTTTTTAGGTTTTCAGAGATTAGCTGAAACAATTTTAAACTGTAGGGGCCTCACTGCTTTTTTTTAGTCTGAAGCCTCGTCAAGTCTAAATTCAGCTATAAATGTGTAAATGTACCCAACATGCCCTATACTCCAAAGTACGCATTTTCTTTTAGAATAAGCGTTAGCTGTACACACACACACACACACACACACACACACAAACATGCACACACCACACACACAGGCACTTATTGCAATGTTTATAAAAAATGATGGCAAAATCCTATGGTTAACTGAACAAACAAAAGGCAACTATTACGATGCTCTATTTACAGCCTTGACCAAGGCATGTTGCCGACCCCGCCCCCCCCCCCACCTCGCCCCCCCCCACCTCGCCCCCTCCCATAAAAGCTGTTATAATTTTTATTTATAAAGGTCTTTCTCCAGCCATGTCAATGCAGTCTTGATAGCCAGATCAAAACAAGGAGAGACAAGTGGGTGAAGTCGATGCATTGCGCACATTTCCCTAGTTTTTTTTTTTTAAAGAAATATCACTAGTTATTTCAATCTTACCTTTTATAAACTCACTTTACTAAGAAACCCGTTTAAAAAGATGCCAGTTAAAATGATTTTAGCTTTTCGATCCCTGACTTAGCTTCACTATGTTTCATAAACAATCAGCTCTCAAGACAACGCCCCGACAGTAAGTGGTTACCAGCTTCCTTCTGGGAATGTCAACAATTCACTTCCTGGGCTAGCAATCACTGTTGAAACAATCAAATGTGACGCGCTGGTGATATACGACGTTCGTGGCTTAGGCGTTGGGAACGCGCTAGTAGTAGGTGATATACTATCGTTGAACGTTCTGTTGTTGAAAAACTGTCAGAAAATCTTTGTGTTTCGGTGGAAGTGTTATCTTGTTTATGTGAAAGAATACTTCTTGGGACCACCCAGACAGTTTGAGGAGCTTGTTTTCATACCAATGACGAGAATCAGGATGCAGTGGCATAGTGGCTAGTGGGCTTGCTTGTCAAAAAGTGGTCATTGCTCAACACCCAATGGTGGCTAGTTGGTTGCTTATCGACTAGTGCGACGTCAGGTGAACCCAGCTTCAGTTTTCTAATGTATTGTTTTTTTTGTTTTATGGAAGTATGGTCATTTCGATATTGAACTTTAAAATAACGTATGACTGTTTATAAGTTACAAAAAAAGGGAGGACTTGACAACGTGCCCTATGCGACGTGTAACAAGCGAAACAAGCGAATAAGGACAAAGAGTTCGATCTAATGATATTTTTAAACTTTTCTAAGCTCCTTCCGGACAAATGACGACTGCACCAACACCCAGTGCAGGCAGCACACTGAAACACAAGCCTAATGCCGGATGTGGTAACTAGAGCGGCTATATCGACAATGACAAGAGAGTTGGGTTAATTTCTTTTTCAATGTTAAGAACAATCCACATTTTTTCTGAGACTTTATGTTTCAGTCTAATTTAAGCATTCGTTACCCAGTGCTCAGAACTCTGAGCTGCTAGCTTCAATTAGTATTTGTTCGCGTCTCCTTTTTCTAGTCAGGGATTATAATTATCAAGATTTTCCATCATATCATCTGCCGATCGTCAACAAGATGGTAGAGTAATGTCGCTATAAACTGTCTGTGAGCCTTTGTATGAAGCGAAGATTAGCTGCCACATTGGCTACACTTTTAAATCAGAAATAGGCGGGTAAACACCTGGCTAGCTGGCATTAGGTCAAAATTAGTAGATTCTTGTAATTTGCATTGAAATGGGACACATTTTCTTGATTATCACAGTCCCACCCCGGCTGGTCTCCAGGGAACTTTGTAAACAACAGTGACCCTAATGTAGCTTTACTGTTGAAAAGGATTTCTGGGACTTAAACTGAGAGACATTATCAAAGGCTTCTGGACATTATCACACATTATTATTACCAACAATAAAATTAAACGTGTGAAATAAGATGCCCGAGAAAAGCTGCCAACCTAACCTCCGAGACAAATTTAGAAGTGATATTATCAGACGGACTGTAGAAACAACAAATTGCGGTAAATTCATTGAGAGACAGGAGATCGAATGCCTTGGTCATTAAATAAAATACAGCCAGAACAACTACTAACGTGTGCGCTATACATGAAAAAATCTGAAAGGGAAAACATAGATTGATGACATTAAAAAGCGTCTACATTGACACAGAATGACAATAGCCATAGCTGCCCATAAAGAAGTAACACTGTTACTCCCTACAAATCTTAACGGTTAGGTTAGCTGCGTATCCTTTACAGGACGTTGCAGAACCAACCCCGACAGCTCCTGGCTGTTGTGTGGTTTTTCTAGGCAAATTTACGTCCAGTAGTTTGCTATCGCTTCTGGACGGTCGGATTTCTTGATACCACTGTCGAAACCAACGCAAGGCGCATAGCCCACAGTTAGTATCGAACCCGGCATCCCGGCAGTACGAAGCGTTTGCATCGACTTAGCCACAGGGCCGACCAAAGCTTAACGACAGAAGTGGAAATCAGTGATGATGATGATGACCTCAGATATTCTCACCCGAGTGTGACGCACTGCACTTTGCGTCACAGGGAGTTCATCGCTCAGTTGCGGCGCTAGTGGGGTCCAATTGTACCCATTCAGTATGTAAGCAATTCCCATGTCAACCCAGCCTTGAGTGGGTACCAGGTGTAGTCCTGAGAAGTAAAGGCGACCCGTGACCAGCCACATCACCGATTGGTCTATAAAAATTTAGGCCTAGCCCTATATTCTCCATTCGCCTAAAGGCGTGAAAAAGGGAAATCTTAGATCTTAGAAAGTAAGTAAAGGACCATTTCTGCCCAGTGGGACACCTGGCATGTGATGTTAGACTCATGATTCTATAGACCAAAGGGTGCACACAAGTGGTATGACCAACGGGTGCACAGGAGCGGTATGATCAACTGGTACACAGGAGTGGTATGACCAACTGGTGCACAGGAGTAGTATGACCAACTGGTGCACAGGAGTGGTATGACAATCTGGTGCACAGGAGTGGTATGACTAACTAGTACACAGAAGTGGTATGACCAGCTGGTGCACAGGAGTGGTATGACCAACTGGTGCACAGAAGTGGTATGACCAACTGGTGCACAGGAGTGG